ATTTATTTTCAGATGCACATCCCTAGTCTCAGTAGATAAACAAGTCCACACTTTTAGCTTCACCAATTAAAATTTTCCATTACTGATTAATATTGTTCCTGTTTCTGGAACTGCACATTTATCTAGCTATAGGGACCAAAGGTCTGATTTGGTATAATATTTTGAATATTCCTGTGTAAATTTAGGTGGTTGATCTAGAGATTAAACCAATTAAACACTGCCATGCTGGATCTGCTGAAATCGCAAGATAGAGGAGAGTGTCATCCGCATTTTGGTGGCAATTCTCCAGATGACTTCACCCAGAAGCTTCATGATGTTAAAAATCATGAGGAACAAGATGGAGCTTTGTGGGGCTCCATAGGCCAGAGGCCAAAAGGCTGAGCAGCGGTCCCCGCAGCACCATACTCTGAAATTTACCTTTGATGCAGGACCAAAACCACCACAAAATTGTGTTTCCCAGTCCCAATCCCAAAAGGCAGTCCAGAATGATACCATGATCAATGGTATCGAAAACTGCTGAGAGGTCTAGGAGTATTAACAGGATTGTACTCTCCTGTATATCTCCCAGCACAGGTCAATCAATCAATAGTTTATTATGATCCATGATCAGAAGTCAAGATCATCAACAAAACATTTACACTTCAGTTGCATGCCATGGCTATTCTGAACAAAATATAAAATATACATATGCTAGAACAAAATTTGTTGAAGCAAATCCATGTTTTTCTGTCTGACTGAGCATGCTGAGGCACAAAACCTAGCTACCTTAGAGGTAGTTTCATTACAGCAATCAGCAAGAAGAAGAAAAGTATAAAATTGGTTGGATCTACCTGGATACTTGGACGTAATTGGAGTAAGATACATATTCTGAATGTTCTGGTAAATCCAGCAATATAAGAAATCCAGCAATATAAGAGAACATGTGTGATTGTTTCTACCATTCCAGCTTGGTATAGGAAGATATGTTTCATATACGCAATGTATGCATATCTCCCCTCAAGGAGGACAGATGGGAGAATGTTAAGTCGGGCCAAAGTAAAAGCTCTGCAATGTTTGGGGAGTTCCAATATATAGAGGTAGCTAAATGGAATAGAATTTTGGTTGCAGTTTCCCACTGTCAGGACAGAGTAGGCTCGGGATCTGTCTGCTTGAAGGGAGGTGTCCCATAGCCTCTGTCTGATTATTGCTTTAGCTCCTTGGTGACCAAGGCGCAAAAGAGCTGTGCAGAAGAAACCCAGAAGTTGACAGTTTGTCTTCTATTGCTTTCATCTACCTTGCAAAATTTTATAAAAAAATAGAAAAGTTTATTTTGGGGGGGGGGGGGGATTCAGTTTAAGTCAGTGACATATAGCTTGAAACCAAACTCATGTTTCTAATGTTACCAGGCCTGCCTCTAGCCTGAACATGGCAATAAGTACACATCCAGGTACTCCGAATAAAGATCTGAAAAATTTGGACTGTATTGCTTCCAATTTAAGATAATCATTATACAGGCAAGCCTGAGATCCATACATGATCTGAGACACCACCTTAGCCTGAAAGACATTCAATGCATGTGGTATGTTTGGTGTAGTGGTTAAGTCTGCGGACTCTAATCTGGGAGAACCGGGTTTGATTCCCCACTCCTCCACTTGCACCTGCTGATGTGACCTTGGGTCAGTCACAAGCTCTGGCACAGCTGTCTCTTGAAAAAGAGCAGTTTGTGTCAGAGTTCTCTCAGCCCCACCCACCTCACAGGGTGTCTGTTGTGGGGAGGGGAAGGGAAAAGGAGTTTGTAAGCTGCTCTGACTCCAAGTGAAGGGTGGGGTATAAATCCAATCTCTTCTTCTTCGTCTTCTTCTTCTATGTGGAATCCCCCTTTTGTAAAGAAGAATCTTAACACTGCTGAGGCCATTCTTTGGGCAGGTTCTGTTACCTGAGAAAGATGGGCTGCCCATGAATCTGATGATTGAAATGCAACACCTAGATATCTAAACACTTTAACTCAGTTGATCCTATGGCTGTCAATTTGCCACCTATGCTTAAATGAACCTTTTAGCAAAAACAAGTATTTTCGTTTTTGAAAAATTGATTGTTAGAGTGCCCAGAAGGCTCTTCTCAACCCTATTTCGGTGTATGACAAGATGACTGTGTCATCTGAGTATAGAAGTGTAGAGATTAGTCTATTCACTATGTTTGGTGGATCGAAATCGGGGTTGGATAGAGTCTGCACCATGGAGTTTATGTAAAACTTAAACAATGGGAGAGGCAAGTATACATCCTTGCTGCAGTCCTTTCCTGACTGGCACCTTATGGGACAGATGCCCTTGTGGATTACATCTCATTGACAAATAATTGTTCTCATGTAGTCAGGGGTCATTTTGTAGAAAAAGAGGTGCAGGAGCTCATTAGCACAACTCATTAGCACAACTCATTTGCATATGCCACACCCCCTGACATCACCAGAAGTGTGTCAGAAGGCAACACCCACCACTCAGGCTCCACTGGACTGTTTTGGATTGCTAGCTATTGGGAGGGGGGGAACGTGCAGATCTGTCCTCGCAAAGGAGGGAGAGTTTGTACCTAAATAAAACTTGGCCTTCAAGGTGCCACTGGACTCCTTTGGACCGGGGGAGGGGAGGGTGCTCTGCAACTTACCTGGCTGCTTCTTGCTCTGACTGAGGGCTGCTGGGCGCACGGTGTGGGGCTTGTTGCATGTGCCCACCCCCTGGGTTCTTTACTGCCGGAGCTCCGCTCCTGTGCGCTCCTGCAGGAAATGACCCCTGCATGTAGTGTATGTATGAGGGCAAGCAGTCTGCAATCTAGTGTAGAAGCTTTGAGTTTTAACCATAGTCTGTTGCACAAGATGCTATGAAACGCCATCCTGTAATCAACAAAGGCTGCGTACAGTGCCCCATGTGGTCTAGCAGTATATTTCTCCACCAAGTGGCACAGAATCAAGCACTGATCCATTGTGGAGCAGCCACTTCTAAATCCTGCTTGTTCCTCTGCTAGGATGTTCTCCCTATCAATCCAATCCCATAGCTTCCAATTGTCTGCCGCATAGCTTGCCTATCACACTATGCAAGCCGATTGTACAATAGTTAGAAGAATCAAATTTCACCCCTTTTTATATATCAGGATAATAACAGCCATACCCCAATCATTGGGGATCTGAGCAGTTTGGTCGATGCATGTGAAAAGAGTTGCAAGGACCGGTGCCCACCATTCAATGCCCCATTTAGTCAGCTCTGGAGAGATCAAATCACTCGCAGGAGCCTTCCCCAATCTTAACTGAGCTGCCAGCCTCTTAACTTCTGCTGCCGGTACTGGTGGCCAGGGTGGGAGATTTTCCATGTTAAGAGGTAGGCTCGGTGGCATATAGTGCAAAAAAGTGAGCTTCCAAGGTTCAGCACAGGTCATTCATAAGGGCAATCCAAGGCCATTTCAGTCCCACAACCAGGCCTGAAACCAAATTGGAATGGACACAAACAATCTGCTTCATTCCGGAATCCCTGAAGTTGCCCAGCCACCGCTCATTCAATCACCTTGAGACTGGATGGTACGCCTGAGACTGGATGGTAATTATTCAACCGTCTTGGGTCCAGAGTAGGCTTCTTTAGGAATCCGAATGCTTCAGGAATCAGAATCACTCCATTCAGTATTGGTGGCATGAAATAAACCTTGGAATATCCTCTTTGTGCACAGAAAAAGAAAGGTACCTGAAAAATTGTAATTAGCAAACAGCACTGACATGGCACATACGTCAATAAAATATCTGGCACAAATGCAGTATATTTCCAAGAAATCAGAAAAAGTGTGGCATATCTTTGGACGTTATGATTAACACTGGTCCAGAGTGGAACTCTTTTCAGCGCTATGTTGCAAAGGCCATTGTTGAAAGCTAACAGGTGTTTGTTCAGTTGTGCATCACATCAACATTGTCTTAATTACTTCTACATGTATGGCTGAAGATGCATCAGTGAAGAGGAAAGGAAAGATGAAAGGCAAACAGAGCAGGGATGTCATGCATTTCCCATCACCTCTAACTGACTTTTTGCCTCAAGAGGAAAGGGAAAATTTCCTCTATCCAGAGTGGAAATGAAAAGACTGATAAAGATTTCATGCTGTCAACAGCAGGTAAAACCTGCTTTTCTGAAGAAATCAAATATGGATTAACAGACCGTAAGCTAGAGAAGAGGTTTTGCCCTGGTGATGGACTGCAGAAACTCACAGACATTTTATATCCTAAAGTTTGGTTCAATTTGGTGAAAATCCCCTATTCTTTTCTTTCTAAACTTTCACCATGTCCTTCAAAGCAGACTGCAATTAAACCAAAATGCAATTCCTATCAAAAGGTTGATCAAAAGGTTTTTCTTAGCCCTTTCTGACATGATGAACACATGGGGCAATCTTTACACATCCTACCCTGCTTGATAGTGGATAGATTTTAATGGGGATAGATTTTTCACTGTTTTATATTTTAAAGATTATTTATTATAATTTTGTATTGTTTTTATTGGTGTATTTTTAATGCTGTTAGCCACCCCAAGTCCTGTATGGGGGAGAGGGAGCAGTGTATAAAAATTTGGTAAATAAATAAATAACATCTCAAGGGGATCGTTTGTGCCACTGCAGGCTGCTGTAGTAGCGTTCACTGATGCCACTAGCAAAGACAGGGCTATGACCAGTGGTGAACTCAGAACCAGCAGCTCATAGGATGCCTGAGTAGAAGCAACTTCCAAAGAGCAATTGTGTGTCATGATGACTCCTAAATTTTAGCAACTGAACCACAGGGAGAAGAGGAGATTGGATTTATACCCCGCCCTTCACTACCCTAAGGAGTCTCAG